TTATCTTTCTAAGTGAAAGGAAATTTTTTTCCTGGAAATATGTAGGAAGTAAAATTTATAGAACTTGATTATGGTTGAATACAAGCTATAGAAAGAAAAAGAAGAAATAAAAAAAATGTTCTCAAATGTTCTCTGTATGTTTGAGTGATCGGTAGTACATCAGCTGGAATAGAGAATATGGGAGGCTATAAAGATGAAAAGTAAAACAATTCAATTTTTGGCTTGTTAAAATTTTTGGTGCTCTGGTATGTCCAGAGAGTGGTCTAGTGAGCAGCTGGGTATGCACTGCTCAACTAGGATGTGATGTAGATTTAGGGTTTATCTGCATATTGGTGATTTTTAATAATATTTATTTATTTATTTATTTATTTATTTATTTATTTATTTATTTATTTATCTATCTTTAGAGGGGAAGGGAAGGAGAGAGGGAAACATCAATGTATGGTTGCCTCTAGTGTGTCCCCTGCTGGGAACTGGCCTGCAGGGAACTGGCTTGCAACCCAGGCATGCGCCCTGACTGGGAATTGAACCGTGATCCTCTGGATATTGGTGGTTATTAAAACCATGTACAGAAAAATTGAATGGAACCAGAAATAGTAAGACAGAACAGAGGTTAACCACATCTAGCAATACCACCTCTATTTCTAGGCAATGTGCATATCTATCAACATCCAAGTTCTTTCCCCTCACTTATTAACAACTTGGGCATATGGCTCATTTTCTATATGACTAGTCCAAGCTGACGTCATCAGAGATGGTTCATCTAATCCTCTGGGCTTTCAATGTCTTAATCAGCTTTGAAGTCCTTCACCAACTCTTATTTTAGGGAATTCACATCTACAAACCTATAACTTGTCCTATTTTAAAAAGTTCAGTCTCAGTTTTCCCATTTTATAAATATAAACTTCAAATTCTCTCACACTGATGTTTTCACTGTTGTTCTTTACACTCATTAAGAGTTCTGTTCTTTCTTACTATTATCTACTACTTTCTCATCTTATTCTCTACTATATCTTCATTATTGGTCCTTCTATTTTTTTTTATTACTCTATGTACCCCATAATCTATTGGGTTGGCCAAAAAGTTGATTTGGTTTTTTCCATAGGATGGCTCTAGCAGCACTTAGTTCTCTTTAACTCCATTTGAAACAATTTTGTTAGATTGTATTGTGATAGCTGTCATATCAGTGTGCATATTAGAAAAATCAAAAGTGGTGAATTTTGTGTAGCCATTTTAATACTAAAGATGGAAGAAAATATGCAACATTTTTGGAGTATTATTTCAAGAATGGTAAAAATGCAACTGAAATGCAAAGAAAAACTTTGAGCAGTGTATAGTGTATGGAGAAGATGCTGTGATTGATTAAACATTTCAAAAGTGGTTTGCAAATTTCTCACTGGATGATGTTCCATGGTCTGGTAGACCAGTTGAAGTTGATAGCCATCATATCAAGACATTAATTGAGAACAATCAACATTGTGCCATGTGGGAGATAGCCAACATACTCAAAATACCCAAATCAATAAAATTATTGGTAACAATGAAAAATGTGTCTTTTATTTTATGGAAAAAAAACATACAGACTTTTTGGGTGACCCAATATCATTATTTTACCAATCTGAAACCATTTTCTCTCTTAGCTTTTTCTCATACACCTAATGATCCATGGCTGAGTCTAATTTGTTTTTGTTTTTCATTTATTTAGTAAATGCTCAGTGACATGTATTTGAGGGGGGACTCTCAAAAAACAAAATTATCTTCTGGAGGGTGGCTCCCTTGTAGTACAGTCTTCCTCAGCTAGTGACTGTTCTAGGAACCCATCTGTATCAGTGTATTAACTGGTGTTGTTGCAAAAGGTTGTGTTGGGCTTCAGTGAATATTTTTTGAAGACCATTTCAATGCACTTGCCTATTTTATGATGGGTAAATTATGAGTGCACCTGCCCACACTGTGTTGAGTGTTCAGCAGATTTTTAACCAAAAAGATGGCATGAACCCCATGTTCCACCCTTCCTGTTCACCTGATCTTGCTCCGAGGGACTTTTTTTTCTATTTTCCTGAATGAAAAAAGCCTCGAAGAGAAACATTTTGCCAGTGTGGAAGAGATAAAACAAAAAAATAGCAGAAGCACTAAAAGGCATCCAAATTGATGAGTTCAAAGATCGTTTTGAGCAATGGATGAAAAAAGTCTCAATAAGTGAGTAAAGTTTCAACATGTAAGAATAAATACACATTTTTAAAAATAAATTCTTGGGTGTTTTTTGATCTCCCTCATAAAATTTATTTTATCTAACAACTTCGCAATTTTTAACCATTTTAATTTTCATAATAGAGCTATGAGGTGGACACAACCATTATGTCCCCTGCAAGAGGAACTCATACAGGTTTGTGATCTCCAACATGGACCAGAAAATTATTTTGTTTTATTATTTTTCTCTCCTTTTGGAATAATTTCTATGAAGAAACAAACCATGCATGATGCCTGAAAAAGACCAAACTGTCCCATGAAAAGAGACTATGAAGGAAAACTGAGGCTACCAGCTCTAAGCCAGAATTAGCTACCAGACTTAAGTTCAGCCTCCAGACTGAGTGGTCTAGCTGAGACCTCAGAGATCACTGGGGAAAGACAAGCCATCCTCATTATGTCTTGTCTAAACTTTTGATGCTCAGAATTGGTAGGTTTTGGAGGAATTTGTTATGCAGCTATAGTCACTGCAACACTACCAGTAACAAGCTTACTGCTAAATCGAATGAACACCTCTCGAGACTTAATTTTACTTGATTATTTGAAATGTTTAACACAGATGACAAAACTCACCATCTTGAAATACTGATTTTATTTGGTGTATATTCCATTGCATACCATATGTGTGTATACATATATATACACATGGTACTTGAATCTTTCTCATCATTCTTTATCAGTTACTTCTACCCATTTGTTTCCTTAAGGCCCTGTCTTAGGCCCTTTCTGGGTCAGTAGCCATCAACTAGGAGTATGCAGTTTAGAAGAAATACTCTGTGATCTTACTTCAGTGTCTTCAATTATTTTCTAATGCTAATATTGTTTAAATATACATTTAGCCCTGATGTCTCTCATGTGCTTCAGAAAAAAGATATCAAACTACTAATAAGTGTTAGAAGTATCTCCTTGCATGTCTCGCAGATACTTCAGCCTTGACATGCACCAAAATAAATGTATCACCTTTCCCATCACACTTGCTCTTTCTGTTTTTTATTTTATCAGTAAAACATGTTAACATCTAATACACCTAATTTCCCAATCCAGAACTGCTTCATTTTCCTCCTTTAGAATCAGTCACCATGCCACTCTATAATTAATTAAGTTCTATTGACTCGAATTCATCAATGCCCTTCTTTTGATTCTCAATGCCACCTTACTTTCATGGAAGCCACATAAACTCTTTATTTAGTTTTAATGATACTCTTAAAATTTGACTCCCTTTCCCCATCACCCCTTTTCAACCTATTCTCCACATTGTGACCAAGACATTTCTAAAGTACAAATTTGAACATGATTTTCTTTATTTAATACCAAATAACAGCAAATCATTTCCCTAAGGATCAAGTTCAAATTCTTCATAATATCAAATATATGTTCAGCCTCATTTTTACCAACTCCCTTCTGCATAGTCTATTCTACTCTCTCTTTAACTTCTTCATATTAAATTCTCTCCTAACCATCTGTGTCTCCTTTTTTCCATCCTCTTCAGGAAGCTCCTTTAAATAGTTAATTAATTTTGTATGTTTGTGCAGTCTAATTCAAAGGCCTTCTTATCCCTATGTTCTCATAACAGCCTGAACTTGTATCTACCACAGTACTTTCTACACATAATTATAACTGTTTCTTTACATCTTTATGTCCCAATAAACTTGTAGCTCAATGATAGCAAGAACTCTTTGTTCAAAATTATATGCTCAGTGCTTAACAAAGTTCTAACTTAAATAAACATTGTGGATTAAATATCTACTGGACTGGTGATTAATGAATTGATTAAAAATGCCTGTGACAAGTATAACCTTAGATATAGCCCTTGATAATGAAAAGGTAGAGGGAGATGTGTACTTACAAAGCTTCAGAAAACAGGTTAGACATGAGAACATGGAGTTGAAGAGTCTAGACAAATTTCATGATTAGTTAAGTAATACTAGAAAGAATTAAACTTAATGGAAGATCGAAAAAGTAAGATGCTATCAAGAATGGTAAATATTAAGACAAATGTATCATGTGTCTCCACTGTGACATATTTCTCCTCTTTAATACATGTGACAAGTTTGTTAAAAACTATTAATTGCCTGAACATTTTATTATTTCATTCTCCATGATGGAGGTAGTATCAGTTAAGGAGCTCAGTAAATATTATTCTATTCTAAAATGTTTAGAGTCAAAGAATTTACTAGTTTAAAGACTAGGGCAGCTTAAATAGTGAATACAAAACAAAGCCATTTTTTAATAATAAAATTTAAATCAATGATAAATATTATATATTAAAGTAAAAGATAAAAAATAAAATTTATTATTAGATTCATAATCAAAGTTTTTTCACTGCTAATGAATATTTTTCATACATGAAATACTGTCTCTGAACAAAGAACATATTCACATCTCTCTTACATATGTAAATAATTAAAGAGTATGTGTTCTGTTAGTAAGTGGTTTCGTTGCAGTAAGTCTATTTCCCAGAGTTTATGGAGGATTTTGAGTTTCTTGTGAACCTACCTCTTGACATTCACTTTGGCTTTGTTGATGATACTGAACTTACATCAAAAGATAATGAACCTTTTTTTTGTTGTTGGAAACCTGCTGTGTTTGAGATCTACTAGGAAAAAGTAGAAAATGTCCTCTTCTAAGCACTGCTATTGCAGTGAAGACCCTTTTGAACACTTATTGATGTCAGATACATCAAATTCTTAACGGAAATCATGGCAATTGAAACATCACATTCCTTTTTCATACGAAAATGTATTTTTTCTCCTTACCTTGCTGTACAAAGGATCCATACACAAACCACATGGAGTTGTAGAGAGTAGTAGAAGTCATTGATCCCATTTGTAATCGTGGAGGATTAAGCCAATTCAAAAGGTAGACCAGAAGACCCACAAGAAGGACTGTGCCAGCAATGCAAGCCCAGAGAGAGAGATCAAATGGTGCAAGACAGGCAAACATATCCACGGTCTTTTCAGCCCTTCTAAGTAGAACTCCCACTGAATAGTCCATGTAACGTGTTGTAAAGTCCACCACATTCTCACGATCTGGGGTGATGGTTAAAGCAGATATCCCTATGTCGGCTCTCTGAGAAATTGAGGGAGGAAAGAACACATTAACGGTTTGAAAAACAATTTGATTTGTGACATTTTAGCTTGACTTGAGGGAAAAAACAGATGCCTCGTGCAACATCTTAAGTCTTAAACTGAAAAACACTGCAGAAACTCCTTAGAGTTACATGTGGAATGTTGCATTCCTTACTGCAAGCCTTACCTCATTAGAGCCAGACAAATTACCTTGTTTATATTATCAGTGAAAATAAGCATGTGAAATCAGCGAAGAATATTTTAGACACAGGTAACACCTGAAAGAAATTTTCCAGGGCTATTTTATCAAAGTCTTCATTAACACAGTAGCAAAGACAAAAATTATTCTAAGGAATTCTTTTTGAGAAGGTGTCCCTGAGATATTCAATATGTCTTTAACCTACTAAGTCATTTATTTAAACAACTCAGTATAGCATATAATCCTCTGTTTAGATTTCTCTGCATCAAATTTTATGTTACTGAGCTCTAAACACACTAGTTTGTTAGAGCTTTCACATAGCACTGTTATGTCATATGCCAGGGGTCTCTACCATGATTTTATTGTGTAAACATCAGAAACATTTTAATGAACAATTAAAATTTAAGAAGACAGATAATTTTTCTTGTAGTTATAACCCTTCTTCTAAGTGTGTGTCTCCTTAGACTGAGTGATAGTACTCAAAACTATGGCATAGCTATTTTATTTATTTAAAGTGCACAGCAGAATTGCAGCGAAAACACTAAGAAATGACTTCAAATTTAAATTCTATGAGAAACATATTTAAATATTTCAAACATGGCATACTCTTTAAAATAGTTATTTGTAGCTATGATTACAGCTGTGGGAAGTTCCTTCCAGTCAAATGCAAACAACAGTAAATTATTCGAACATTTTCATTATTTTTTAAAATTGTTTTGTGAAACAATATAAAACTAATTTTACTGATTTGGGGAACAAAAATAAATGAAAAAATAACATGCCTACTACAATGCTAAACCAACTTAGATAAATCTAGTTTCCAGAGTAATGGTAACAAAAATATTCTAGCTAAATTTAATATTATTTGTGTGTGTGTGTGTGTGTATATATATATAAACACATTCAATTCTCACACTTAATAAGTATAGAAGCCATATTAAAGTTATATTTTTCTTACTCCAAAGTTTGTACTCATGATGCTTTACTATATTGTAAGAAATCATTCATTTTCCAAATAACCCAAATTGTAGGTAGTTATGGTAACCTATTTGAGTATAATTTTTACCTTAAATAGCCTGAAATGTTGCTTTCTAAAAATTTTACTATTTGCATTGCAATGAAGCCATATTAATATAAGTACCATGAGTTTAAAAATAACTGAGAAGAATTAAGCCTAATAATTACTATATGAAAATGAATTTTGAGAAAAACTAATTATTCCCATTTTAAAACTCATTATTTATTTTTCATAACTAGATATTAGGAATTAGGTCTTTTCAGATTAAAAATCTAACCTGGATCCTTAGCTTTCTATTTTTATCTTTTCTGACCTTCAGTTTATCTACTTACGAAATAAATATAACTATGTTTAGTATGACTACTGTGAGTTAACTCATTTATTTTAATCCTAATGGTGAATAAACAACTCTCTAAGAGTCAATTAGTCTTTCAGAAGGTATATTTACTTTCTTTAGACATTAAAGGACTATGGATCAATAATTTACTAATTGATGTACTGGTGAAAAAAAGCATTTTATGATTCAACTAAAGTGAGAAAATTCTACCTAAGGAGCTATGTAATGACAATGTGTTGATTGAGTGCTTCTAAATATTCATAAATATATTGTTGATAAATAATTAAATGTTTTGCATGGAAATCATTATGAATTGGAATTGTCATATATTGCTTTTCATTATAGATACCTGTAGTATCATCAAGTGAATTTCTATAATGGGATAAAGAATGATACCTAGAGAATAATGCATTTTTTTTTGGAAAAGGAATTAATTGTATTGTATGAGCTAAAATATTTATTAAATATAGTAATTGTCATATTTCTATCGATAACTTCCTAAATTTTTGTTCACTTTCAACACTTGCCTATTCTGTCCTTGAGGTGAAATTCCCAGTCTTCCTGTGCTGGGCATATCAGAATCACACAGAGTGGGCAAAAGGAGGTTTATAGATGTTGAAAATATAAAATACATTATTTATTCTTGTTTTATTATTTATTAATTGTTATATTATCTTCCATACAAATAACTGTAAACCTACTTTTGCCCTGCTCTGTATAATGGGCTTTTCAAACTGCACAAATACGTTTATACAGACACACCATAAAATCACAGGCTCACGTTTCCTCTCTGAGATTTGGATACCCTTTTTTAAATGCCTCACTCCATCCTTCAGAAACAATGATATAGCAGACCACTGTGTTTGATATGAGCATGTGATAGTCCTTACTCACATTAGAGAATTTGCAACAAAGCAGAAAAAAAACACCCCAAGAACTACTGATTCTAAACAATGACCCAAAAACTGGTTGAATATTTTCAAAACAACCAGAAATGGAGACAATCATTCATACATTCCTGCCCTCCCTACTCCTCCCTCCATCTCTCTCTTTACCTAGATCTTTCTTATATATGTATGTATGTAATTGAATGTATATCAACTTACTTGTCCAGATTTCTATAATGACTTTTCAAATCTGTACCCTCTTGAAACTTTTAATGTTCTCACTTCCCCACTAACTCTTGGAAGATGGCCTCCACTGCTATTTTGTAGAGAACAGAGATGGCAGATTATAATTCACACTTATTTTTACCGCTCAGTTTCCAACCCTTAGCCAGCATCTTCTGTTTAACCTCTATTACAACAGAGGAGCTGTCTTCCTTTCTGCTAAGACCAACCATCCATCAGTGAACCAATCTCCTCCCTTTCAGATACTTAAACTCCTGTCTTTTATGTATTCAACATTATCCTATAAATGGTATATTTCCTATGAACAAGATTATTTTACTCCAGCTCATTAGAATAAAAACAAAAAGAGAAAGGCCTTTTCTTTTATTCCCTGTGATCTCTGATTCCCGTTACCACCCATTCTCTCTCCCTTTTTCACAGTCTTATTTTTTTAAGTTTGTCTCTATTTCCACACCTCTCAGTCACATTGGGAAGACCTGTGTACCCACATTGTTCAGTACTTATAGACAGAGCATATCTTAATCTTTACATTGCTGAATCAAATGGACATTGTTTAGTGTTCATTTATTTAGGCCTCTTGACAACATTTGACAGTGAGGGTTTCTCCCTCCATCATAAACACTCTTTTCTTGGATTTCATGACATGATATAAGCCTCTTTCTCAGTTCCTTTTTCCAGCTTATGTTGACAATTGTCAGCATTTGGGCATATACCCTTTTCTCATTCAAGATACTCTGCCCAGGCAAACCCCTTCATGTCCATCACTTCCAGAGTTTCCATCTACATCTGGATTTGCAAATTTATAGCTCAGGCTGAGTGCAGGAGTCACAACATCACTGTAATTTCTATTAGATGTCTCAACAACTTCTCAAACTTAACATGGCCAAGACCATAGTCATGATTTGAACTCTATCCAGTCCTCATCCAATGTCTCCTGCCTCATTAATACCTTTCTACTTAAGTCTTAACATTTGGTGTTCTCATTATCTTTCTCAGTTTTATGCCCCCTGTCTTGTCTTCCCCTATCTATTTAATCTCTGGGAATCCTAATATCCTTTCACTTCTCTACTGTTTGTAGCCCTCATCACTGTTTTTCTTGACTCCTTACAAGTCTACCTGAAATCCATCTTTCCTCTTCCATATAGCAACAAAAGTAACCTTTTGGTATAGGAAATATGAACTGTCCTCTGCCACAGTTGAAAGGTTTCCAATAGATTTGTACTGCTCTTAAGAAAAAGATTAAAGTCTTTAACAAAGTCTGAACATCTTGGGCTAGACTATGCGAAACATACTTCATCATATTCACACTGAACCATTTTCTTTTTCAACATATTTTCCTGATGCATGTTCTTAGTAAATGCTCTTCCCACTGACTAGATTGATTCTTCCAAAACTTCTTCCAGTGAAAATTTGATCAATTTTTAATATAATAATATAATATAATGTAATGTTTAATATAATATAATTAATACAATATAAAACCTTCAAGTAACACAACACGGAGACAGCACTTTTAAGTCTTTCTAAAGACTGCACAAAGTTTTAAGCAATAACTATTTTTTGTCACTTTCAAATTTTCATTGGATAGTAGGTGCTCAGTATGTTTGTTGATTATGATGGTACTCTAATAAATTTAATCACTTTCTCTTGATATATTTTTAGAATTTTCCTTTTATTTTCTTCAATAATTAATAGATGTTTGATCTTTTTTTTAATAAATATTTTATTTATTTATTTATTTATTTTAGAGAGAGGGGAAGGGAAGGAGAAAGAGTGGGAGAGAAACATCAATGTGTGGTTGCCTCTCGTGAGTCCCCTGCTGGGAACTGGCCTGCAACCCAGGCATGTGCCCTGACTGGCAATCGAACCGCGATACTCTGATTCGCAGGCCTGCGCTCAATCCACTGAGCTACGCCAGCCAGGGCAATAGATGTTTGATCTTGAAATTTAGGTTACATTCAATTAAGAAGTGTTTTTTGGAACTTACCATACTGATTTTTCTAGAAATTGATATTTTCTACTATTTCAATAGTGTTGCCTCTGACACTACAAATGTGACAAGAACAGTAATATTAGTATAGATTCTGTGTTGTCATTCTTAGTCTTATCTCTCAACCTCTACCTGGAAATCACATGCTATCCCTTCTAGCTCCCTCTTCACTATCTGTTTCTAACCCCACAGCCATGCCCATTCACATGATGGTACTATGTTAATGTCCTTTCAGGAGCAGTTGAGTTTTCACTGGTCTCCAAACTCCAGCTTTTTTCTTCCAGTCTAAATATATACATGCAATATTTTCCCAATTTTTTGTATTTT